ATATATATATATATATATATATATATATGTTGAGCAAGAGTAAAGATGAAGGATGTTTAAGTGGACTTCTTCATGGACACATCTCTTCACATCCTGGATAATGTGATTATTATCTTCTGCAGTCTTTAAAAATCCACTCTAGTCTAAAACGTATCTTTTCAAATTTCTTAGTTTTCCCTTTACCTTCATGTGCCTCACAAATCCTAATTGTGCCACTAACACGGTTTATTCCTTAACACGCTGCTTGTCAAAACAATTCAACAGTCATAAATCAGTGTTTCTTTTTACAAATCTGTACTGACAGCCATGTTTGAACACCGATGAATTGATCAAACTGTTATGGGTGAAGTTTGCTTCATAGCGACTAAATCTGAGTGGCTGAGACACAAAAGTTAGCTAATTTAACTACCTCAAATACAGTCCAAGATTTCTTCTTTTTAAAACATTCCTCTTTCATCCGACACCTTTTTAGCCAAGCGCAGAAAGAAAATACAACGGCGATGTATTTAAAATGAAGCACAAACACCTGAACAATGGTCATCACGATAAATGATTAGAAACGACGTCACCCCGAAATGTCATCTCATTTCTCGTGTATTTCTGAGCACATGTGCATTTTGATGTGAAAGCAGCTAGAACGTTGCAACATTTCTGCATTTTATTCTGTTTCTTTACATGTTTGCAGGAGGATTTGGAAGAAATATGGACAGAATTGTCACAAGGGAATTTCCCAACTGTACTAATGTCTAAGACACGAGCTCTGTTACAGAGTAAGTACTGATTTGTCGTGTTTCAACCGTGCTGAAATAGTTTGCTTTGTTGGAGTGGTTTTCTACATTTTTATGCCATGCTGATAGCTACCATTGTTCAAAGTCCTTATTAATTCACGTGGACTGACGGAGTGTACAGTGTGACAAATCCACTGATGACCTGCTGAGACAATGTGCCATATGAAAAAGTTTTGAACACTGACATAATCCACATTTGAAATCATGTTACTTCTTTTATGTACAGATTGTAGACTGTAAAATAAAATATGTCTAATAGATGAGCAAAATGTAATGAATGTATGGGTCAGTACAACAAGAATGTGAATATTATTTCTTATTTAATAAAATATGTTTGAATAGTGATAATACGACACTGGGCTTTAAAAATTTTTTTATTTTTACTTACAGGACCTGTTGATTTTTTTCCCACTCATTTTAGCGCACAAATTGAGTCTGGCTATAAAATCAGTCCTGTGCAATCCTTTTACATTTGGGTTATCTAAATATTTATGTCTCCTTTTGGTACACTCTGAGCTACATCACAAGCCCCTCCATGACACAATATTAATATGTTACGTGAAAATAATGTACATTTTGTTATCTTGGAGCTAATACTCTGTTTTTATTTTCAATAAAAGATGTGATTGGTTAATAGACATGATTCAAATGTATAAAAATGTTGAAATCTGACTGTTGTAGATGCTTAAAGAAGAGGAATATGTTACAGTTTTATTCTGTAAGATACTATGATGCTTTCAATGACTGTTTCTTAGAAGATAAAGGTCTAGCTGGCTTTATGAATGTTGATAAGCTGTACATACAAAAAAAGGGATAAAGTTCATCCAACTTTGTTGTATAAAGTCACCGAGCAGGCAGTCTTGTGTTTCCCTCACCTTCAGTCCTGACAAGCTGTAAGACTTTCTTTTTTTTTACAATAGCATGCCCTAATTATCTGTGATCAAAGACTATATTGGGGTGTGTAACTACTGTACACATATATTTATGGTGATTTTAAAGTTTTCTTGACACATTAAACAAACACATGGTCCAATGGTCTAGTTGTGCAGTCGCTCAAGAGTTATGCATGATCTGATCTACAGTATTGTACCTTCTTGTCACTTATCTTGTTTGACATCATCTTTCTTACTGTGAGCAAGTTACCATTCTGGAATTGTTCAAAATAAATGTATTTTTCTATGCTTTTTTTTTTTAAATAATATATTTTCAACTGTGTATGCCTCCTTTCAAAATGTGTTTTATTGTACACGTTTGTGCTGTCGTGACATAAACCTGCAAAAAAACCAAATTGATTCAAGGAGCTGTGTTCTTCCAGTTCTGCCCTGGTCTTATCTGAAGCACAGGTAGCTGGTAGGAGTCAGTGCATCAGGCTCAACACACCACTCTTAATGATCTCATAGACTCTAAAGTCAGCTTTAATGGGCGGAGGTGTGATAACAGCCATGTGAAGATTCCCATCTGACATTTAGACGGAGCTTCCTTTTACCTCTATCGCTCAGGTTGCCTGTTACTAGCGCTTTCTGTTTAATGGGAACAATTACAGAGGCTGGGACGACAATGAGAAACATGATTTGCTAAAGGAAAAACTACAGGCCTCTGTTTGCTGATGTAGATGAAACGCACGGTGACAGATCGGAGGGCAAAACTTCACACTCGGAAGCTGCAGCCAACTGTCCCCCCCGTCCTCTGCTCTGCATTATATTTGCCACTTCAACGACTCTCTATCACGCACCGATCTCCATCACTCAAGCAGCCGTCAGCGCCCCGAGAGTCTTATTCTCGCCTCTGCTCTCAGTCTGAATTAACACCAAGGCCTTTCTCTAACCGCCGTGGGATGTTCAGCGTGGCACAATCAAATTGAACGGTGACAATCACTAATGGATGATTCGCTGCAGCCAGACACTGTAACGTAGCACTCAATGAAAGGAAACATGCTCATCAATTTCACACGGCGGCTAACACAATATTGCTGTGGGTTATTGTTGTGGGACATTTTTCATTCAAGGTGCTACCCAGACTAGGAAAATCTTCTTTGTTGGTTGTGTGTGTGTAGGTGAGTGTGTGTGTTGATTTCCTGGAGAGGGGATAATTAATTTGTTGCACAGTGTTAGAGCCAAGGAACTAGCCAATTAGAATCACTCCAGGATACTCTGAGCTTTTCATTGTCCTCCCACTCGGCCCCTTTATAACAAGCAAATGGCTGCAGTGAAACTTTGGGCATGCTAAGCAACACTTATAAAGAAAGGCAGAACACAAAAAAATACTAATCTGACAAAATAAGGGTGTCTTACAAGTCAAAATCACCGGTGTGAGGCAGTCCAGGTGAAGCCATGTGGGATACAAATCGACTAACAGGGAATAGTGTGATTTAAGCAGCAATAATAAACAGTTTGTGCTACTGGGAATGAATTGAACAAGCAGCCACATTGCATTGCTGTTGTGTTTCTGCTTTAATCTGCACTCATGGTTACCTCTGCAAGGTCAAATGAAGAACACTGTAACAACCCACTGAATAATCACCTCACTTGTAATGGATGAGGTGCTCTAGCCTCTGAAGAAACAGAAAATACTGTAATTCATACATCTGATTTTTTTTTCTCGACATATTGTAGATTGAAAGAAGAAACAAACAAAAAAAAAGCATGCAAATATGTTCACAACAGTATTCACAGGTTAATAAGTAAAGAAAACATATTAAAGTAAATAAGATTTTCTTCTTTTTTAAAAAAAAAAAGAGATCTTCTGATGATTGCGTGTCAAGTTCTTCCGAGTCTGAGTTTATTTATGTGTCTGGCTCAATCAGAGGATTGCAAGGAAGAGGTATGGAGAAGCCTCTAGTCAATTTGTCTTCCTGACATATGATGCTGACAACACTTAAAAAGAAAAGTTTGATGAAGAAGAACTTCAGTACATATCCCAAAGAGACAGCAGCTGACCAAAGCCGTGTGCGTAGGCTGAGCCCCGTTGACAGCAGATACGTCTTCTCTATCTCCGTGTCCCTCGCAGCCAAGGAGATGAACAAATCTGCAGCCTTTTTGTCCACCGAGTCCTTGGGGGCAAACCTGGGACTGACTGCAAGCTCCTCTGCATCCGTGAAAAAAATAAAAAATAAAGATCTGCCATCATGTTGGGGGGAAACAAAGATTAAATACAAAATAAAGGCTTGGGGTTCAACCAAAAAAACAACAACAAAAAGAAAATAGATAGCACAACCTTCACAGTAACTTCAGTTCAAAGATTTTCTAAGTGTGCCAAGGAGTCTATAAAGCAAACACACTTTGATCTGATAACTAATTAAAACACACCGAACTTTTTTTATTTTATTTTATTTTATTATTTCTGAGCCACATGCAGCTTTTTAATTGTCTGCAAAAACATTTCTTTTATGATGTCATTGAAACTTTACTAGAAATGCGCCTATAATTTCATATAAAGCCCAAATTCAAGTCAAAATGACCACATGAAAATATAGCGTAGCTGCTGTAATAATAAAGCACAAGCAGCCGAATGTTGTAGATCAGCCAGAGGGAGATTTGTGAGTTCACTGTGACAAAAATGACTTATTTGTGCCTCCTAAACAAAAGGGACTGCTCAGATTCACATCTTCTGTGTATACCTATCTGCTATAATCTCCTGCTTTTTTTTTTTCTTTCTTCCTGTTATGGCATATGTAACATTGCAAGCTGTGGAGAGACAGGCTTGATGGAATACACAGATGTGGGACTGGGAGCCCTCCATCATCTCCTGGATATTGCGAGCTTTCATTGGATGAGAATCTGACGATAAGATTTACTGATTACAAAGAGCTTAATGAATCCGGCTCCTTCACTGTCTTTACCCAGATAAGCTTGCTCCGCACTCGCAGAAAAGTAAACTTCACAAACACGAGTTTAAAAAAAAAAAGGGGGGGGGGGCATAGAAATAGGAGAATAATTTGAAACATTATTACACATCTCCGTCGTCCTGCTGTTTTGACTTTTTCAAAAATTCAGCACTTGCCGCCGTAACCAGCTGAGACAAATAACGTTCACTTCTTCCATTATGGATGCACATTATTTACATCAAAAAAGCTCAATGTCCTTGCAAAAATACAAGTATTTCAGTCAAAAAGTGTTCCTTTTCAAGAGGCAAATATAAATCTGTACAGTCTCCTCAGAGGGATTTAGGCAGCACAGTGTGAACTGGTCCATCCATGCATGGGTTGCAAAAGACTCGAGACCATTCATTGTGACCGCAGTTTCCTAGCTTGCTGGAAGTAACTGCCAAAGAAGATGTATTGCTTTCGAGTCGGTCATAGACTTCCAACATTAAAACACATGGGGCGCTTCATCAGAGAGGTTGATGTCTGTGTGAGATGGCAGGTAGTCTGGCGAGGGAGGGAGGAGACAAAAAAAAAGGAAGAGTCAGTGGAGAAATTTTATTTAGGCATTTGCATAAGAGTGTATTTTTGCAGGCAAACACATTTATCTTGGATGGGTGGATTGTTTACTGTAAGTATGGGAGGAGGTAAATCAACTGGAACCTTGTAGATATTTGTTGATGAAAATGCTTTCAACCGCTTGCTGCCTTCCTGATGCACTAATTATTTTATTGGATCAAATAACTCACCTGGACATTCTCATCACTTTAGCTGGCACTTGATTGTGCATCACATACCTGTGTATACTAATATCTCTCCATATGGCAAACTTAGGATGGCAAACGCATAAAATATACAGCACGCAATAAAAGCTGCGTCTTGGCAACTTGTATGACAATGCAGGAGGAGGAACGATAGCATCAGCACTTAGCATTAAGTGAATCTCTGTTAGCTGTCAGTGAGTTTAAACTTGTGGCCGCGATTCTTCACCGTGGTTAGAATTTATCTTGTGCTAAAAGGTTATTTACAAATAAAAACATACAAACTATTCAGTTTTAGTGCGGAGGCATTTGGGGCTTTAGGTTAAATAGATGAAGATTGATTTAGCTTTCATGCTAAACATCTGGCTGTTTTTTTGAGCTTGGTCCCATAAAGCGATAAATCAGATCTGTTGATTTGGGGTTCTGTGGAACAGTTCCGAACTATCAGTGTCTTACCTGTTTTAGATGTTTTTTAAACAGCCTCGGATTGAAGAAATACTTACTACTTCTGACTAATAAATGAGCAACCAACTAGTCCAAGCAAAATGGCCATCTTCAAATAATTCAAACCACAAAAGTTTTACAGTGGTTCCTACAAAAAAAAAACATGTTTTTTTTTATTTATATTACACTTAAAAACTGCTGTTTGCCAAAGTGTTGCACACAAAACAATAAACCGTAAAGGGTCATAAAACTAAAAAGATTAAAACTGTTTTAACAGAATCAGAATGAACTTTATTGTCATTCCGTACAGCTGTCCGAAGGGTAGACGGAAGTGTACCGGAGCTGCAGCTTCTATGAAGCGCTGCCCTTATCGCTTAAATAAGAAAAGGGGGAAGAAAACATGAGGAGAGAAGGTATTTTTAAAAAAAGATCTCATACACCGTGTCCTTCGACACAAGGCATAGTGAAAAAATCTAACTCAGTACAGCAACATACAGTAGATAAACATACATAAGTGAAAAACCACGAAGTAGGAATAGTAGTACAAGTACTAAGTAGTCGTTTATTTTATTATTTATACACATGTATATTAAGACATGTTAAACCCTTCCCACACTCTCGCAATATTCTAAACAATGTTTCTAAACTCTAAATGCTCTAAAAGAGCACAGAATGTCATGATTTCATCTCTCTGTCTTCTCTGCTCTCAGCCGCCTGCAAGCACTTTTGGCCACGCCCACTTTTAACGCTCTGCACGGAGAACAGCTGATCAGCTGCAGCAGGAAGTTTGTCCTGCAGTAAGGGCTGCACAAAGGTGCAGGAGGTGCTAAATAATTTAAAATCATTTATTTTAAATTAAAACTCCATGCCGATTGTGCGGCTCATCCATCAATCAGCCAAATGTGTGTCACGTCCAATCTTATTTTGAAAAACCGTAATACAGCGAGCCCCAGATAAACGAACTGCAAAGTAGCGAGGGACTACTGTAATACATTTTGCCGGGGGGGGGGGGGGGGGGGGGGAGTATGGTGAGATTGTCCACGAACATTTCCAGATAGTTTCCATAGTCCTGATAAAGGATGTTACAGTGTCTATCAGCCGGTATAACTCTGATAGGGTCCACAGATGTTCTTGGGGTGGGGGGTGAGCAGGAGCAGAGCTTCTTGATTTACGTATCCACCAGGAGCAATTTGAGATAAGTTGGCCTGTCCAAGGCTGAGCGGGGAGGCCAGATTCAGATAAACAACAATTGTTTTGGACAGGCAGACTCTACTGACATGTCTGCCTTCAGTTCTGCTGGTACACTCAATGCCGAGTCCAAACAGCCAGATCTGTGGACATTCTGCTGATCCGTGCTTGTTAGCCTTCTCCAAGGTCCGTTCCTTCATGCCGGCAAGTTCTAGGAGCCGCAAGTGGCCAACAATTCACAGAAATCGTGTCCAGCTTACGGTTCAGTTCGCAAAGCACATGAGTCTGAGCGCTCGAAGCACGGTTCAATCCTTCACATAAGGCGAACAGCCTCATTATTACCAAAACTGCTGCCAAACCATATGACGAGAGAAAAAAAATACACCATAAAAACACCTCTAAAACGTTTACATTGCTGTCAGTTTTGCATTAGACAGTTATTTACACCTGCCTCTGTGGCAAAAGGGTGATTGTGAAGCCATTTCAAATGACTCCATTAATTTTACAGTTTTTGAGCTAAAATTCTACGTTACAATAGCCGAGATTCATCCCCAGCACATGCTCTGAGAGCTAACACATGATCTATTTTTAAAACTTTGCCATTTACTATGAAACTAAATGTCTCATAACACTGGGCAGATTTTAATGAAGTTTTCATGAAGTATTCAATGCGGATGCATCTAAATATGATTACCTCTTGGCATCAATCACATTTAAAATGGTCACAATAGACAACTGACATAAAAATGGCAATAACTCAGTTAGTTTTACAGCTACTGACATTAAATTTAGTGTGTCAGAACTTAAGGGTCTTTGCCAATACATGCTCTGAGCACCAACACGTCACATTACATCCAACTATTTCATGTGAGGTCGTGTATAACGTTACTTTTAACCAAAACGACTAAAACATTGTCACTTTTGATCTTAACATGGTCTAAATATATAAACTGATATTAAAGGTGGTGGACAATATGCATTATTTTAAGAAAAGCTAGGCTTTAAATTTGCATCAGATTTCCATGGTTGTAAGTGCAAAAAGCAGCAGCAGCTAGCTGGAGAACTTGTGGTACATTCTGGGGTACTTGAAGCAGAGACAGCTTATTTCTGCTGGACCAGCTGTGCAATGGGAAACTGACAGATGTGTAAAGATTTATCAAAAGCGATCGCATGAGCTGTTTTCCTGAAATTGTGGAGACTGAACTTGTTTAAAGATGTCTAAAAACCTCTTGATCTTGGCTTCATTCCGACTAGCTGTTAGTTCATCAGTCTGGTCAGAAATAAACTGTTTCTTCAAACCGAGATAATTCAAAAAGCTGTCTTTAACAGGTAAGATGATATTTATTTGTAATCCTTCCACAGAACCCCACTTCAAAGTATCTGAGCTTTCCTTTTACGAGTTTTTTCTGCATTGATACTCCAGGTCTCTGAAACTCTATATCAGAGCTCAAACAGCAAAGACTGTACAGACTTAAAGTGATGACCCCCCCACCCCCATGTCAGGGCAGCCTAAACTGAGCCAGTAACAGTCTTTCAGACATTTTGTGATTTTTTTTTTCCTTTTTACAGTTTCTCCAGAAAAAAAAAAAAAAAAAATCCCCCCCCCCCCCCCCCCCCCCCCAAAAAAAAAAAAAACTATCGTATTTTCCAGTGTATAAGTCACATCAGTCAAAAAAAGCATCATGAAGAGGGAAAAAACATAAGTCACTTTGGCGTAAAAGTTGCATTTATTATGTGTTTATTTAATGGTCAAAACAGCTTCATTTCGCCTGGGCGGTGCGGTGCCATCCATTCATCCATCCATCCATCGCGACCGGAGCTGCTTGCTCTCCAGCGTTCCTCCGCCTGCACCAGCTGAGTGAAGCGAGCGTGCACGGGAGGACTCGCTGTTGCAGTTCTTCGTAATTTAAAGTGTCAGTCAAAAATTGCGTTATGAATATGGAAAAAAAAAAACATATAAGTCGCTTTGGCGTAGAAGTTGCAGGACTGACAAATCTCTGAAAAAAACTGACTTATACGCCAGAAAATACAGCATGCATTTAGGTTTAGATAAATATATCAAATATCAAGCATGTGCAAAGGTTTTTAAAGAAACTGTATGTGGGGTTACTCAGTATTTTCCTGCAAGTATTTTAAAAACCTTAGACAACCTACAGTATTGTTCTAACGGCATAACACAAAAAAAGGCATCTCTCAATTTTTCTTGCTTGTGGGTTTAATCTTATTTGACTCGACGAAGTGTAGCGCAGACATTTGGTATCGCCATAATCAGCGCTTCAAGCTGTTTGTGAAGAAACAGCTTACTTTTTTAAAAGGGTAATTTTCTGTACTATACATTAACATTCTATATATCTGTTGAAATTAGTAATCACATAAATTCAAACGCATACAGCAGAAAATAAACGAGTAAAGGTGAAAGAATTTGACAGTAAATGAAGAGGAGCTTTTTACTGCCCGTGAGCTGAGATCAGACCTCGCAGCTTCAAACGGAAAACAAACTCATCCGTACCTCTGCTCTTTGAGTTCAGCTGCGTATCTACATGATCCAGGGAGGTCACGCCGTCCCCCTCAGGGTTTGGGATGGCTATGGAGGTCACCGTAGGGATGACCTCTTGTTCTTTATCTGGCTGCTCCGTCGTGTACGTGTTCATGCCTGGGATCTTCCTGCAGGTCAAACAGAGTGGAGGTTTTTAGTTTATTTTTTTTGAAGAGGACACATTAATGGAAATCTGCCATCAGGTTCGTTTCTCTAATGCTTTCACCAGGCATGATGTGTCACACACTATTTTTAACAAAGATGGCAGAGGGCTGTTTGATTGGGGAAACTGGGGCAGTTTGCATTCCGCCGGGCGATGCGCTCTCTCTTTCATATTGTTCACCTCTGTTTTCAATCAATTTTTCATCCCCGCAGATGCATTCCCCTTTCTGCTTAAAACCAACTTCTTGCATTTCTAATTCCACATTCCTCCCTCCTGACTTTGCGCCGCAGCTGCCGCTGCAACGTTCGGAGGAGCTTATGGAACTCAAACTTGATTTATTAATGTAGCAATTACGACGGTGAACGTTGACGTTAAGTAACGTTTTACTTTTATAATGAGCAGCACTGCAGAGGAAATTAAACAGTCTCCCATGATTGGCATGGGATTACCTGCAGCTGAGGGTACTATTTACTGTATGCCCCTCACTGTATAATATATGTTGTCTCAGGACTTATCTCCTCAACCTTTCCTGCCTTTCTGCTGCGTATGCCTCACCTTCAATGGCTGTGTTTAGCATTTCCAAAAGGTCAAGCCTCACATTGTCAGATAGATGAATATTGATAACTGCAGGGCTCTGACACCCATTCGACGCGCTGGGAGAATTGATTAGACTGTCATTCCCTGTAATATTCTGCAGATTGAGACAGAGGGGAATTGTTTCATTCTTCCAGCCACTAATGTGTTGCAGGTGTCATAACTCTGAGATAGAATATACTGTGGAAAGTTTAAAAAGTGGTAAAAAATACTTAAAGCTTCTTTGTAGATAATGAAAGCAAATGAGATCAAATGTTCACCTTAATTATGAACACCTCTGGAATAAATTGTATGAATCATCTAAAGCAGCCTTTAAGGGAAATCCACACTGTTTCCACTATTTACCTTTTAAATTTATATATTACAAAGACGACCAAGCCCATCAGTGCAGCTGACACGAGCATGATGACCGCAGTGCTGCTGTAGCCACTGTCACTGCTGTCCATGAGAGGAGCTGTAAAGGAGGAAAACTCAAATGAGCACTCACGGAAACTAAATGTGACTTATTCAGCTCTGAGCAACCAATGGGTAATATAAAAATAAATAATACAATAAGTATTTCTGCTTGATTAGAGCTCAGGCTGCAGACTCACCTGGAGACAACCGTGTGGCGAACACGTTCACCTGCAACCCTGGTCTGATGGGGAACTGGACCAGATCTTGGTTCAGGGCGCTTAGCAACACCTGAGAAAGCTACAAGGAGGAGAGAGGACTCCATCAGCTGCAGCTGTGCACCAATATTCCACAGTCATCAATATTTCAGCCACATTCATTCAAGCCAACAGCCTGAATTATGAATCAGGGTTTTTGTTTCCTTCTAAAGAGGTGGGAAATCTTTATGTGACGCATGCAAAACTGAACCTGGCACAAGTGAAATCCAAACGGCTTCAAAAGACGAGAAGAGCACATTCAAGTAAAAGGGCAGCATGCTTGTAGTGCAGCTGTGACATTTAAAATAATATTAATCTTTTTGGCTATTTCTGCCACGCGGGGATTTTTACCCTCCATTATTTAGTCAGTGTTAAGTATTCTGAGGAGAATTGCCCTGTTCAAAAGTTCAACGAGCCAGCGTTACAGAAAATCAAAGTGTGCTCTGATATCATGAAATTGCTGTTTTAATTGTTTCTCCCTTAAGTGCTTAGAGTTCCTTAGCTTTTCCACACCTTGATGAAACAGTCATTTAACAAGGGACCAAATGCCTTCCTGATGTGCATTTGAGTCCTTAGCCATGCCTCACTAATTCCATCTCACTCTTCTCAAAATCTTTCCACTGGTTAAAATTAGACTGCTCTACACAGCATGAATAATTACTTTTTGTTCTAGTGGCATATCAGGGTCAGTAAATCTATTACACATTTTAATAAGCCGCTCCACACATACACTCACCGCGCTCGCGTGCGCGTGTGTGGGCACTCGCTCACTTAATGCCTCCGCACTGAAAGCCATTCACTGGAGATGAGAACAGTGAACTGAAGATTTATTACCCTATTGTCTGTGAGGTTCTGCCAGGTAATCAGACAGGCTTTAGATAAATACATCTCTTTAATTCCCAATCCCAGCAGCCTGCCCCAGTTTGTCTCCCTTCTCGATGGTGCCAATTATATGATGCATCAATGTAATTAAATACCTATTAACTTAGTTCAAGACTGACTGTGAGCCAGCAGAATCGTGTTTACTTGCAGGGAATAAATGAGCTTGTCTGTGCCGTGCTTTAAAAATGACTCTTTCTATTATTTTGTTTACCTGTTTGATGCCTTTAAATACCACAATAAGAGATTGATTTCCAATAATCTTATTTTGTCAAGAGAAAATAATACCAACCGTGAGGGATATTAGCTTTAAATGATTACATTGTTGATTTAATTCAATTTTTCATGCAAGGCTAAACTTCTGAAGGGCATCAGGGTGCCTAATGATGTTTTGTCATTTTAGTATCAGTCCGTTTGTGTGGGACAATCCTGCCCTCTAGCGGTAGTATGAAGTATTTCATTAAAAAACAATAAATCATTTGGGATTTTAGGACATAATCTCATTGGCCCTTCTGTGAAACAATGAGTACAAACATGAAGAAAAGGTTTATTGCTTTGATTATTCAGTTAAAACAACTAAATTATTTAGGTTTATGCTCTGTGATTTGAATAATTATAAAATCACACACTGAGAAAAAGCTTCAACATAATTAGTTATGGAAAAATATTGAGCTGGCCTGGTATGGAGTTTTGTGAGATGAGATAGACGCCTTTGCATGCTGAAAATCCATTCTTCTCTGTGATTATTTAATGGAGCATACTAGAGTTTGTGCATGTTTTCGTCGAATTGCAGCAAAAAAAAAAAAAAAAAAGTACAGTCCTCATTACTGCTGACCTTTTCTGAGACATGCCATAATTTTTTTTTTCTACCAGTGGCATCTATTTATTTCTATTTTGGTATAAAAACAACTATGGAGACATTAAACCTGCCTGCCCTGGACATCCATCACAATGAGCATCACGCCTGCATTTATTTTTTTTTTTATCAAAGTTGACCTTACAAATGTCTGAGCCTGGACGGCAGATTCTCTAAATCAAAGAACACTAAAAACCGTGTGTTTGCAATGAATATGTAACGGAAGGAAATCAGTGCAGACATTATTCCTATTGTGATGCATCGCTGCACCAAAGCACGTTTAAAGTCTCCCCAAATCGATGTTTAGGTGTAACTAAAATGAATTACAAATATGGCTCTAAAGTGGAAAAGAAAAAGTCCTTTTAAAGGAAGATAAAAAGAAAACATTTCGCTAAAGTATAACTGGATTTGTATGGAAATAAACAAAGTTGTAAAACAGATGACTGCAGGTATTTTTTATTAATGAGCTTTTATTCTCTGATTTGAGTACACAGTTCAATTAGAGGTGTGATTTTTTTCCCTTTAAACCTTTTTCTGGAGGCATACCTTTAATATGCCACACCATTAAAACTACTGAGAGGTGACGTGAGAACATTTATCATGAACCTCATGTTTTAGGTGTCGTACCTGACAGTAATGCTCAGGCCCCTGCCTGCACTCTGAGACAAATTGAAGTCTGAAATTCTTACTCATTTTTATCTTAACCATTCTTCAAAATTGGACAACAAAAGTTTAGTCCAGCTTTCTAAAGATGTGTGCCGGCGTACGTTTGTTTGTAATGCTCTGGTTTTTTTAAACCTTCTAAACTAAGCTAAAGACAAGATAATCTAATCTTATACAGTTGTACTGTCACACATTCATACATAAAAATACATGTACAGTATGTGAACTACATCTGATAAAGTTTCCTGCAAAATGAAGATGATGCAACCATCTTTTCTTTGATTGGCAGATTTGTAATTTATTGTCATCGTGCCATCAGACGGAGGTTCAGAGACAGGTCCACGATGCAGCTGTAACTTCAGAATCACACACACACGCTATGAAAAGACTTTTGTGTTTTATGATTTTGTGTAACTTCACTAAAACTGTAAACATTACAGTGTGAATCCTTTTCTGCTCCTCTGTCATGTGGGGTTCCCCAGGGCTCAATTGTAGAGCCTCTGCTTTTTTTTTTTTTTTGCGTCTACTTCTTCTAGGATCAATTTTTAGCACACTGGGCAGGCCCCTTCACTGTCCATGTTTAAAACACGTCTGGAAACTAATTTCTACTCTTTGGCCTTCAACCCAACTGAGACTTGATTTTACTTAATTTTCATTTGTATTGATTTTATTTGTTTAACTCGTCGTTTTATTGTGTTTTAAATTGAGTTTTTAAATTCACTATTGTATGCTTTGCTTTCTCACTTTATTTTTATGATGTCTTATTTTATTTGATGATGATGATGATAAAACAAATTGTTTCTACATTTGCACACTTTTTTATATGCAAACATCAAACTTTGAGAAACTACTGTTCTCAAGATTTATTTTGATAAAGCTCACAATGTGTAATGATTAATAAACAAACAAACAAACAAACAAAAAGCTGAATTTATTAACAGTGCAGCACTACGCTGTTTGTATTTACCATATTTTTCAGAATACAAGGCGCACTTCAAATATTTTAATTTTCTCTAAAATCAACAGTGAGCCTTATAATCCATCCATCCATCCATTATCTTTACCCGTTTATTCCATTTTGGGTCATGGGGGTCGCCGGTGCCCATGTCCAGCAATCACTGTGCGAGGGGTGGGGTACACCCTGGACGGGTCACAAATCCATCACAGGGCTACACAGAGACAAACGAGACAAACAACCATTCACTCTCTCACTCACACCTAGGGACAATTTTAGAGTTATCAATCAGCCTAACAAGCATGTTTTTGGTCTGTGGGAGGAAACCGGAGCACCCGGAGAAAACCCACGCATGCACGGAGAGAACGTGCAAACTCCACTCAGAAAGGCCCCTGGACCGGGGTTTGAACCAAGGACCTTCTCGCTGACAGGCAGCAGCTCTACCAGTTGCGCCACCGTGCTGCCACCTTATGATCCAGTGCACCTTATGTATTAATCCTGGTGGGACTTACTGACCTCAAACCAATTTTATGTGGTACACGGCGCTCACAAATCTGTCAAAACGAACTCGTTTCACTTAATGCGCCTTATATATGAAAACAGACCCGTTCGTTGATTTTGCGCCTTATCGTCCGAAAAATACGTAGTTATGATAAGTTGTGTAATTGCCTCCTAATATTCTCTATATATTCTCTACAAAAGTGATTTTATATTTCACTAGCAGGGATCAAAGAAATCACACACTTTTTTTTAGGATCTTCTAGCTGATCTGAGGAGAGCGTACCTGATCCAGGTGGGTCTCTTGCTCGTCCATGGCTCTGACTCTTGACCTCCTCTCCGGGACTATAAAAACCTCCGCTGTGGTTGGTAAACCTGGAAGCACCGTGACCAGGAGCTGATCCTCATCGATTCCTGTGACCTTTATTAAAAACACTCATTATGAAAGTTTGTATTTGAGACTATTTGTAGCCATTTTAGTCCTAAAATATGCCTGTTGAGGTTGAACTCTCTGCTCTTTCTGCTCAATGTAGTGTTTGCATAAAAACCAGTCAGAGTCAAAACATAATTGCCGGATCAAGTAGAACATGCAAGTTCAGTTTGACAGTTGTTGGTAAAGGCCGGGGCTCTTAGTGCATTTACGCCATGACCAGAGGTGTAATGTCAGTTTCTTGCTGTAAACTGTGGTGAAACCTGACAAGACAGAAGGTCAAAGTGAATGTTTCATACTGAGGGCTACTGTTGGATATATATAGAGCAGAGTATCCAGGTCCTGTATTACGTAACCTGCTACACCCTGTCTGAAAATCAGACACACTTAACCACGTTTGACTCCCTCAACTCAAGGCCTTTTCCTCAATTTGACATTTCTTCTTAAAGCAAATAACGTTTTTCAGCCTCCAATATTTAAACAAGTTCATCTGAAAGTTTTATCTGAAACTAATTATTTGGTTGCTGATGTAACTTCATGTATAAATGCAGCAGGTGAGAGTTTACGCTGCGGGCTGCAAACACCTGAATAAAAGTCAAAAATGTTCAAGACAAAAAAGACCTGAATAAAAGGGCTTGATTCATTTCTAATACGGAGTTATGACCTTTTTATTATTGTGCATCACTTACAGACCTGAACAATGCAGCTCTTTACAACTCGACTGATGTCTTCTCTCCACTCAGACACCCCGGGGTTCAGCTCGTCCAGATTAGACGAAAAGGCCAAAGCATGCGAGCGGAAATAATCTGAAATAAAATTTAAAAAAAATAAAAATGAAGAAAAATTAGCATTTTCCGAGAAAATGATGTGGGAGTGCTGAACGACTTTGCTGAAATTTGATTAAGAAGCTGAAACTGAATTCTTAAAGTTACAGAAAAGAACAGAACTAAAACTGATACCACTTTATAATAAGGATCCCTTTATACTTATATAATAAGCATTTCATTAATAATGTACTGTATCACTGCATTATAAGCATCTACAACTAATATTATATCCTGAAAAGCTTAAGTTTACAGATGCTTATTGTGCGGACAAGTAGTGACTTAGTCTGAAATGTTTAATATAACAACTCTATGAAATATAAAGGTGAACAGATCTGACTCACTATTTGATGAGAAACTCAGTCTGTTTTGTCTCTCTGTCACCCTTAAGTAATGCATAATAAGCTGATATTGATGATTTAACAATTAACAATTATTAATGATATATAATTTTTATAGAAGAATTATTAAAGTTTCTATAAACTATTTATTAGCATCTATAAGGGGAGCGTTATTGTAAAACTATAAATGTGAACAAAAATGAACAACAGTAGCTAAAAGCAAGCAAAACAGTAGTAGCTACAACTAGCAAACAGTAGACAAGACCTAGAATTTGCACAATAGTAGCTGAATAAAATCATATTAGTACGCCAGTAGTACAAAATAATACCTAAAACAAAAAGTAGCAACACAGTAGCTAAAAGCTGAAACCAGAAAAACAGTACTTAAAATGAAATTGTTAAATTTGCATAACCACAGCTAAAAGCTAAAAATGCTAAACTGTAGCTAAATCCTGAAGCAATGAAAGCAGTAGCTAAAATCTAAAACTAATACAATGGTAGCTAAAAGCTGAAATTACCAAAACTGCACCTAAAATTTATAGTGAGCACATCAGCAGCTAAAAGAAAAACCCAGCAAAAATGTAGCTCAAAGCTAAAATTAGCCAAAAGCTAATAAACCTAAAATCAGCTAAAATGAGCAAAACTAGATAAAAGGTAAAATTGTGACAATGGTAGCTAAATGCTACAATTAGCAAAAGAAAAACTAACTAAAATAAGCTCAAAGTTTTAAATATGTATTTATTTAAATTAAACCGAAAAATAAAAAAATAAACAAAGGTGAATATTTTACAAAGTATAAAAATTATAAACACCATGAGTCATGGCTGCTCTCTCCTGAATGAGCTGTCTTTTGATAGGAGGCCCAAAAATAAAATGAAAAACATACAAAAAAATAAATAAAATTAAAACAATAGTTTGAATTCATTCACACAATAATAAGCGGAGTCACAGACAACAACAGCAATAAACAAGATTGGACTTTTTTTTTTTTTTTTTTTG